AACATTCCAGAAACTGATCTGAAGAGAGCATGGCCCTCGCTGCTGGTCCAGCAGCTGGGTTCCCTGGGGCTCCTGGTAAGTGATGTCAGGTCTTGCAGGCTCAGCATTGCCACCTCCACTGACGCCCCCAGTGATGGCATGACCCAGGGTGTGAGCCCCTGCAGAGCCCACTGCCACACCAGCTGCAGTGGTTGCCTTCTGGGCCATCAGGCCTGGCTGCCTGGGCGCAGCAGCAGGGGAGCCAACTGCAGATGGCGAGGCTGAACTGCAGGTGCATGTCTCATGTCTCGGAGCAGCCCTCATCTGAGGGGCCCGGCTGGCCGGAGGGGCCACCCAGGAAGAGTGGCTTCGGCTTCCACACAGCATCCTGGATCCTTACACATTCTGAGTCCAAAGATGACAAACTGCCCTCTTAGTGCCTTTTAAGGAGTAAAATCATGAATAGTTTCAAAGTAGGTTTACAGAAGACAATGGAGCAGTAAGGAAGTAAAAAAAAATTCAAACAATGCCCTCCCCCCAAAATACAGCCATCACCGTTTGCTTGAAGTTATTAGGGTTGGGGGTGGGGTGTTTCCTCAAACACATCAAGGTCATGGGTTAGGGCAGGTCAGGTTCTAGGAAACTGAGACAGAAATTTATACAAAACTTTTATTTTTGGTTTTTCAAGACAGGGTTACTCTGTAGACCAGGCTGTCCTCAGACTCCTAAAGATCCAACTGCCACTGCCTCCTGAGTGCTTGGATTAAAGGCTACCATCTTCAGGTTTTTGTTTTGTTTTTTGTTTTTTTTTTTGTTTTTCTGAGACAGGGTTTCTCTGTGTAACTTTGTAAACCAGGCTGGCCTCGAACTCATGGAGATTCGCCTGCCTCTGCCTCCAGAGTACTGGGATTAAAGGTGTGTGCCCCAAGCACCCAGCTTTTAAAATACATTTTAAATTACATTTTGTTTATCAATTTCTCGGTGTTTGTGTAGGTCAGAGAACAATTTTGGGAGTTGGCCTTCTCCTTCCTCCAAGTGGGTCCCAGAGATCCAACTCAGACTGTCAGGCTTGGCAGCAAGCACTAGCTGAGCCCTCTCATTGGCCCAAGTCTTTAAAGTAATCGTACAAATAAAGTTCTGTTATGTGTTCCTTGCAGCATGTGGGTGGAAACAGCGCTCTACCCTGAACCACACACCAGAGGAACAATGGGGTTTTCTCTTTGTCTTTGTTTGAAGCAGGGTCTCACATTTTCCAGAAAGTATGTATCTGAGGCTGGCTTTGGATTCCTGTTCCTCCTGCCTCTGCCTCCAGTGCTGGACGACAGGCCAGCATCACCACGCTGGCCTCTGCGGTGCTGGGAACGGATCCCAGGGCTTACCAGGCAAGCTAGCAAGGTATGGCTCTACCCTGTGAGTTACAAGCCCAGTAATGGGGTTCTTTGTACTATTTTGCCCACCTCTCTCTCTCCCTCCCTCCTTTCTCCTTTTTCCTTTCCTTCCTTCCCTCACAGGGGTCTCCTCTCTGTAACTCAGACTGACTTTGAACTCACAGCCATCCTCCTGCCTCAGCCTCCCCAGTCTGGCTGACATCTTTTGCCATGGAGATCTGTGTACTCAGCTCACACCCTCTCCATTACCCTACTCTGCTTCTCGCTGACCATGCAACTCCCCCATCCCCAGTTCTCCCTTTTTGCAGTTCCGGGTGACCAGGACCATCGTCCACCGTGACTCCAGGACCACACATACAGGCCCTGTCCCCCATCCGCGCCCCCTGGGATTCAGGTGGCCACGTGGTGCGGGTGGGTGTGGATGTCCTGATGCCCAGCGCTCAGCATGCCCCCGGCGGCTGACGGACACCCAAGGCGGGCTTGGCGGTGACCTTGGGTTGCATCGGCCGGGGCCTGGGTCCTGGCAGGCGGGGCGGGCGGGGCGGAGCGCG